AAATGACAAAACGTGTACCTTATAACTTTAGCTCTTTTCTTTTTTTGGCCTTTTTTTCCATTTTTTTTTTTTATTTCAGCATCTTATGGTGGCACAAATGTTAAGTATATTGCCCATGCTCCCCCTCCCCTCTAGAGTCACAGCTTCAAGAGTGACCATCCCCCAAACGTTGCACATCTAGCAAGCAATCAAGCCTCAATACAGCACAGTATTCCCAAATAATCACCCATAATCAAGTATCAGGTAAGCAAATATTACTACAAGAACAAGGCACACAATTTTTTTAAACTCATCACCTGAAAGGTTACATAGAATAAATATAAGGTTGACTCAATCAAGTTACTATAAGTTGAAAGTGCTTCATAAAATGATCTAGTTAAACTATTCCCACATGATTCTTCCAGTAATCCAGTACCTGTTATGACAGTGAAGTAACTTGCTAATGCTGTGTGGCTCAGCCTAATCAAATATTGTCAGCCTACTGAAATGTGACTCATTTATATAGTATTGAGAAAGAACAATAAAGCTTCAGGAAAAGTCTAGGTCAAATAATGCAGAAATCTTACATGGCATTCCTAAAGACAGATTGCTTTGGAGAACTACTTCTCACCAAATAATAAAATAAAACAATTCAAAATAAGCAAGATCTTTTCTTAACTACATGAGACACTTGTTTTAAAAAATCTGAAGTATATTTCCCATGAGATTACTTACAAGACATTAAATATAAATCAGATCTCCAAATACAAAACATATCAGCTAAAAATAGTTTCAAAGGCTGAGGCAGAAGCCCTCCAACTGAACAAACTAAAATTAGGTCTTTTCCGTCTCTGGATCTTTAAAATGCACTTTCAACATTTATGAGGTACACAAACCAGTTATCCACATATTCTCCCAAACTAGCAGCTCAGAGAGAATCTAATTACTAAAATCTTCAGGAACATGAGCCCACCGTCCTCCAAGAAACTCAAGTAATGAAATCCCTCTTCATTCTGGCTAATAGCCAAACTAAACAGCAATACTACTATTACTACCAATAAAGACCCTTTCCCAATTATTTCATTCAGTAAAACTCCAACCCACTGAAAAAAAGACCACCATACTCTTTTTTCTGGAAGCAGAGGCTAAAGCCCTGTACAAAAGCTGTCAGGTAGACAGGCAGGTAGAGCTCCATCTGGGAGACCAAGCATCGGAGCCCCGAGAGGGAGGACACGGTCACATCGCGGTAGAGGAGGGGACGGAGACCTAAGGTGGCCCCACCCACAGAGGTAGCCACGAGCAGAGCTAGGAAGGCAAGTGTTTAACCCTAAGCACTGCCCGAGCCGGCGCCCAGTTCCACGCTCCCGCCCCCGCTCCTTCGCCAGCCCTGAGGAGGCTCGGAGCTCTGCGACGCGGGTACCGGCTCAGCGCGGCGTCGGGCGGAGAGGCGGCTGCGACCACTGACCGGGCCGCGGGCCTGACCTCGCCGGCGCCTCTGGCGGAGGTGAGGGTCGACAGGAGCCCCGCGCCCGCCCGCCCGCCCGTCTTCCCGTCAGCGCCGGGGCGGGCAAGGAAAGGTCACCGGTCGCGGGAGGCCCCGACCGCGGGCGGCGACGACGTCCGCGCTACCTTTGGCCTCGCAGTCAGCGCAGTACTTGTTGTCCTCCTCCCTCAGCAGCTTAGATAGGATGAGCTGGTGCTGCTCGTTCAGCTTCTGAGCCTTTTCCCGGCAGGAGCGCGTCGCCATCTCGGCAGCGGGGCGGGGAGCCCGGGGCAGCTACGGCGGCGGCGGACGCTGGCGGCAGCCCGGCAGGGTGAACGCACCTGGCGCCGCCCGGACCGCGGGCGGACTCAGCCCAGGAAGAGGCGGCCGCGGCGGCAGCTGGAACAGGAGGAGGGGCGGTGGCGGCGGCGGCGGCGGCAGCGCCGACGTGCCCCGCCTCCTCGCCGGGCCGGCCCTCACGCACCGCTAGAGCCGGCGAGGGGAGGGGGCGGAGGGTGGAGCCGAGGCTTCCGGGTGGCGCGGAGGAAGGAACCCGGGCGCCGGGCGCGCTGCGCATGCGCCGAGCTTACAGACCCCAGTCAGCGAGGTCTGTTAGCAGTCGGGCCATTGCCCAAGGTGATTCCTGAAAGGTGTCTGGCACCACCCAGTTTGGGTTTCCCCCCTGTGGAGGTGTGATTGTCCTTGAAGGCCTTAAGTAAAACCCGGACTGTCCTTCAGAAAACCCGGTAATGGAAGATCTTTTTACAAACAGGCTGCTTTCTCTTGTATCCTTGACTTTACTGGTACAACGTTGGACATGCAGACATAATAAGCGATTGGGTGGATTCATTTATTCATTCGATGTTTATTCACCTGCAAGTTCTGAAACAGGCACTATCCTAGAAGCTAGAGACACGCATGGAATAAAATTGGAAAAACAGTCTCTTACATTTTGGGGGAAGACAAATAATCTGGTAGTGACAGGTATTGAGGACTAACATTTATTGATTACTCTGTGCCACGGACTATTAGCTCATGTAACCCTTACCACAGCCCTATATTGTTATCCTCATTATACAGATGAGGAAAGTGAGGCCTTGAGGAATTAGGTAACTTGCCCAGAGTTACAGAGCTACTCAGTGAAGGAACTGAGATTCAAATCCAAAGCAGTCTGGCTCCAGAGTCAGGCAATAATAAGCCCTTCCATAAAGGGGAAAGTGCGACCAGGAAGCCAAATACTAGGTGGTGGTACTGTAACAAGAAGCTGCATAAACAGTGATCATTAATGCAAGAAAAAGAGAATAAGAGAAAGAAGACAGTCTTGATTAGAGCCCAGAGCTCCCTAATCTAGGTTCATGGGTTTGAACTCTGGCTGAGACAGTTTGAATGATTTGGCATGTTGTGTATTATTAGCAAAATCTAATTTGGGGCTAATGCAAGCAGAATAAACACTGCCCTTACCTGTGGTTGGGCAGATGCTAAAATGAGCAGGAGTCTGTGTCTCACACTTTTTTGTAAAGCCAATTTCTAGCCTTGGGCCCTGCATAAAAGTGACCATCATACCTACCTAGCTCTGTTCTTGACACAGGGCTCAAAAATATTTGTGGAGTTAAATTAAATGGCTATGGCAATGAAGATGTTCAGTAACTAAACAAATGAAAGCTTGTGCTGCACAGCTCTGACAAATAATAATTAGGGAGATATCCTGATGAGTTACAATAAAAAAAAAAGTCATATGGGAGATAGAATTTATGGGCCATGTCCTAAAGATAGGCTTGATTTAGAGGGGGGTGAAATATTGAGGAACAGCAGCATACACAAAAGCAGAAAGACTTCAAGTACCTTGGAAGACAGGCTGGAACGCAGGGCCACTACTTAGGCTGGATAAATCAAGTATGATAGGATTATGGAAGACTTGGGAAGCCAAAGTAATCTAGTTGATGCAGTTGACAATAGAAAACTTGTAGATTCTTTAACTAGGATGATAGCATAATAAAAAAGATCTTTTAGGAAAGTTAGTCCAGCAGTAACCAGTTAACAAGCATCATTTTTTAAATATCCCCCCTCCCTCCAAAAATTCTGCTTAGCACTGCAAGGATTCAGAAAATCAGAATAGAAATTTACCACCACGAAATGACCTTTAGGATAGATTGAAGGGTTGCAGCAATATCTCATGGAAATACATTGTACACCACATATGTAACTTTAGTCTAGTAGCCACATTTAAAAACAGAACAACAGGTAAAATTCATTTTAATAATATATTTTATTTTATTTAATGTATCCAAAAGATTTCAACATGTACTATAAAAATTGTTAATGAGACAATTTACATTCTTGTTTCCATATTGTCTTCAAAAGGCAATATGTATTATACATTTACAACTCATTTCAATTTGAATTAATGGAATTTCATATGTTCAATAGCCACATGTCATTAGTGGCTACATTATTGAACAGTATTGCTCTAGTTGGTCAGCTTGGAAACTATTAAAATCTAAGTTTGAGTTGACTGTATTTTAAGGACATAGTAGGAAGAAAGGAAAAGAAAGGAAGAGATTGATGCCAAAAACATCTTGGGAAGAAAGCAATTCACCAATATTTCTTAAAATTTCTCTCCAGTTCTCTGATGATCAGAAGCTTGCAGTCTACCATGATATTTAAACATGTAAATAGAAAAATTAAGAACCACATTGTAAAATCTATAGCAAATATAAAATGTTCTGGGAGCAAAAGGAACAGTACATCCAGGTATCCTGGGAAAATCTTGGAAAGTATCACCAAGGAGGTGATATTGAAACTTGATTTTAACAGATGTAGATATTTTTCAAGTGAATGGGGGTAGAGAAGAGAAAAGGGATAGCTTGAAAAAAATGTGTATGGACTTCTGAAAGTGCAGAGTTATATGCTGGAAGTAGTGAGAATATGAGGCACAGGGAACCTGGAATGTATGCAGAAAACATGAAGATAGGAAAGGAAACAAGGTAAAGAGATTGCAGCCAAGGGGTTAAGAACTTTGTAGGCAAGCTACATAGAGTATCAACCCCATGGGCTTATAGAGCCAACAGAAGCTTTTGCACATAAAAATGACTTCATGAGCTTTGTTCTCAGTAACTACAGTGGCAGTATGGAGAACATGGGTGGGGAAAAACTGTTATTAGGGTAACAGATTACAGGGCTGTTGCAATAATAGTCCCAAGAAGATAGGTTGAAGGCCTATTTTAAGCAAGTAGCATAGGGTTTGGGAGAGACAGAATCAAATGATGTTTTAAAATTAGAAGCAGCAAGATTTGGCAGCTGACTGTATGTGGGGGGTGAGAGAAAGAAGGTGATAATAACACCAAGATTTCTAAGTTAGGAGACAGGTAAATGGTGATGCCATTAACCCAGATCAAGAATAGAAGGAGTAGGTCTCTCAATCCTGGCAGTGACAGGGCTGAGCCAGTAGCATCAACCTCCTGGCTGTCACCACCCACTAAGCAGCACGCTGTGCTACTATGACATAACAAGCCACCTCCTTTGTCAAGGACTTCCTGGCTAGGAGCATTGCTGCTACCATCTCCAAGAAGATCATGGCCCTGAGTGGGTCAAGCTGCTGCGGTAATTGCAACACGTTGGTAAACAGATCACAACTGACAGGTTTACACAAGCATCGTGGACTACATTGTCTGCATCCCCAAAGACCTGGCCGATGTCATCCACTACTTCCTTATGCGAGCCCTCTCAACTTTGCCTTCAAGGATAAGAACACACAGGTATTTCCAGGGTTATGGACAAGCTCGTGCAGTTCTAGAGGTATTTTGCCAGCGATCTGGCCTCTAGCAGGGCAGCCAGAGCCACTTCTCTCGGCTTTGGCTACCCCCAGGATTTCGCCAGTAGATCTGGTGGCCAATGTTGGGAAACCAGGCAGAGAGCCAGAGTTCAAGTTTGAATTCAAAGGCCTGGGAGACTAATGAAAATCACCAAGTCTCATAGGATCTGAGGCTTGTACCAGGGCTTTAGTGTCACTGTGCAGGGTATCATCATCTGCTGCATAGCCTGAAGACCTAAGGCATCCTCCCTGATCCCCTAAGACCACACATGATGTGGTAAGCCAGATGATTGCCCAGACTCTGATTGTTGTAGCCAGTGTGGTCTCCTTCCCCTCTGATCCTGTGTGGGTCCAAAAGAGTCAACATATTGTCCCTGTCATGGACCACTGAATGCTGAGAAATTCCATTGTCTTTGTCTTGGCCATATTACGTCTGTAGAGGGTTAAGAAAGGTAGAAAGGGGTTCATCATGATCATATTCAACCATTGGCAACCATTGGCACCCTGAGTCTATGTATTGATTAGTGGAGGTGGGTCCACAGGTAAGGCAGCCTTTCCAAGCAGACGTGGAGTCCAGATCTTAAAAGACCCAAGTTGTGTTTAAGTATTTCTTTAAAAAAAAAAAATCGGCCAGGCAGGTTGGCTCACACCTGTAATCCTCCTCTCTGGGAGGCCAGGGCAGGCGGATCTCTCAAGGTCAGGAGTTAGAAACTGCCTGAGCAAGAGCGAGACCAGTCTCTATTATAAATAGAAAGAAATTAATTGGCCAACTAACATATATAGGAAAAAATTAGCCAGGCATGGTGGCGCATGCCTGTAGTCCCAGCTACTCGAGAGGCTGAGGCAGTAGGATCACTTGAGCCCAGGAGTTTGAGGTTGTGGTGAGCTAGGCTGACGCCACGGCACTCACTCTATCCTGGGCAACAAAGCAAGACTCTATCTCAAAAAAAAAAAAAAAAAATCATGTCTCCCATTTGTGTTTAAGCACTATCCCCTCTTTTGCACAGCTGAATATTTGCAATTATGTTCTAGGTGGGGCATTCTGCTGTGAAACAGTAAAAACAGGACACTCGGGAAAAAAGAATAGAAAGAATAGTACAGATTTGGGATCAGGTAGAAGTGGTGTTTGCTTGAGGATATGTTAAGTTTAAGACATGCCTAGGACATCAAACTCCATATGTCCAGTAAGATATTGTATATTTACTTCTAGAGCTCTGGAGATAAGTCAGTGCTGGTGAAAGTCATTGGGGAGTCATCTACATTTAAATGATCTAGAAGCCATAAGGATGGATGAGATTCCTCCAGAGAAAGCATGTAGATAAAGGAGAGAAGAGACCCCAAGACAGAAATTTGGAGATTGCCCACTAAATGAGGAGTAGACAGAGAAAGGTGAACCATTAAAAAGAGAGGCGAGGTATGGCCAGGAAGAGAACCAGAGCCATGGAACAAAGGATTCCTAAGTAAGGGTGAACACAGAAAAGTCCATTTCCATTTTAGACAATACACATGACATGTAGTCATGGGCCTGTATAGTTCATTGTTTTCCTTTAGCCCAGGAGCATAAGAAGAGAAATCTTAGCAGGAGAAGAGAAATCATCTGGTGAGGCTTCCAGGGACTGTGATTGTCTGGAGGGTCCAGTGAAATGTTGAGGAAGCAATGGGGGTGGTTAGAAGGAAAAAAGAAGAAAGGTACAATAGGAAGCCAGGCTAGAGTTAACTACAGAGTGTAAGGTAAGGGAAGTGTCCTCAGTGTGTGTGTGAGAGGTGAAGTAGAAGCACCCAAATGATTATAGGTTTCTTTGAAGCCAGAGGTGATTTGGTGTAGTTAGGAAATGGATACTGACGGTTCACAGAAGGGGTGTAGTAACTTGTTCTGATGAAGTCCAGGATGTCAAAGTGTCTATGCTTGATGGGTGGGGAGCAAAGTTGAAGGTCTGTTTCTGCAAATTCTTAGAGAGAATAAATCCCTTTTGACTCTAAATTTTTTGTATCCAGTTGGAGGAAAAAGATAAGAAAGAAGTTTAGGGAGTTTGACCACAGTGGAACCAGTATTCCACAGAGGATATGGGAAAAGAGGGAAAGAAGGGGAGTGGGAAAATGAAGGGAAAAAGTTGAGTTTAATGAAATGGACAAGAGTGAGGCACATGTGAAGGGGTAAGTGGAACATCTGATGAGAGCAGTGGGTATGGACAGCTGGGAGAATGAGGGCAATAGTAATACGAGCCACTGCTTTTTAATCCCCTACCATAGGTTAATAATGCTCATACCGGCCGGGCGCAGTGGCTCACGCCTGTAATCCTAGCACTCTGGGAGGCCGAGGCGGGCGGATTGCTCAAGGTCAGGAGTTCGAAACCACCCTGAGCAAGAGCGAGACCCCGTCTCTACTATAAATAGAAACAAATTAATTGGCCAACTAATATATATAGAAAAAATTAGCTGGGCATGGTGGCGCATGCCTGTAGTCTCAGCTACTTGGGAGGCTGAGGCAGCAGGATTGCTTGAGCCCAGGAGTTTGAGGTTGCTGTGAGCTAGGCTGATGCCATGGCACTCACTCTAGCCTGGGCAACAAAGCGAGACTCTGTCTCAAAAAAAAAAAAAAAAAAAAAATAATGCTCATACCAACATTCTTGGATAAATCTTATTATACTCATTTTTCATACCAGGAATAACCAGCCAGGATGGGCTATTTCTTGTTGAGATAACAACCTCAAAATAATAATGACTTCAAACAATAGAAGTTTATTTCTTGATCATGCTACATGAGCATTGAGTTGTTAGGAATTCTACTCCATGTTGCCCTCACTCAGGGACTAGGCTGTTAGAGTCTTCATCACTTTTTAGGGGAAAGGCATGAAGGTGACTCTCTGAAAAGCTTCTTCCCAGGAATGATACATGTTCTCTTCCACTCTCATTCCATTGGCATAGCAAGTGCACGGCCCCTCCTCATATCAAAGGAACCAGAAGTATGATGCTACTATTTACTAAGAAGGAGAAACGGAAATATCGTTGAACAGCACATGGCAAGCCCTTAATAAATGTTTGCTGAATGGAATGAATGAGCAAATGAACTTCAATGTAGGTACTTGTCTAGGAATAGAGACTAAATAAAGAAACATACTTTTAAAGCAACTTTTTAAAAGTTCTCTTTTAGAATTTGGAGATACCTCAAACAGTTAGAAATAGAAATACCATTTTACCCTGCAATAGCATTGTTAGGCATCTACCCAAAAGAGCATAAGACATTCTATTATAAAGACATCTGCACACGAATGTTTATAGCAGCACAATTCACTATTGCACGATCATGGAAACAACCCAAGTGCCCATCAATTCATGAGTGGATAATTAAAATGTGATATATGCTCACAATGGAATATTACTCAATCCTAAGAAATGACAGTGAGCTAGCACCATTTATGCTATCCTGGATTAAGTTTAAGCCTGTTATCCAAAGTGAGGCAACACAAGACATGGAAAATGGGCTCCACATCTACTCGCCATCAAATTGGTACTGACTGATTTAAACTTCAGTTTTCAAATGGTGGCAATACCCACCAGAGATTTGGTGGGGAGGGGACCCAATCTTAAGGATGGGATGAGCATTTTGGACGGGGAGGGCATAACTCTAACCCTTCTTAGGGAGAGGTAAAGATATCCAATGTAACCAAAATGTTAAAAAAAAAAAAAAAAAAAAAACTTTTTAGCAGGTGGTGGGCAGGCAGGAGTAGGGATGTTTCCATAATGTGTGTGATGCACACCACCAGAGGATTGAACATTTCTGGGGGAGGGAGGGGGCAGGAGCAATATTTGTAACCCTAACAATATTCGTACCTCCATAATATGATGAAATAAAAAAAAAAAAGTTCTCTTTTAAAAAGAGAAACTAATGCACAGAATTCTTCCTATTTATATCACCTCTAATTCACTTCCCATTTTGGTCAAGTTATATTTTATTTAGTGTTTTTGCCTTTTCCCCACTTAGTATTAGAATTCATGTCTTAATTCTTCATCTTAATTTTGAAAGACAATTCTAAGTAATCAGAAATACCCAGTCAACTTGAAGATACAAAACAAACAGCAAAACTGACCTGGAATGAGCTCTGAGAAGGTACAGTCTGTTTTCACAAATCTTTGACAGTAACTTAATTCCCAGTTATTTGAGGGTAGACTCAAGGGTAAGTGAATAAGCAATTTCATCCTACTTAAGACAGGAGACATGAACACAAGTAGAAAGATATATGTTTTGCCTTTTTAAGGGTAAAATAGGTATCTATTGTCTTTGCCCAAAGTACATCCCCCTTTATTCTAGTAGTAATGTCCCAATTTTACTTTGAGGAATTATCCCCCTTCCCTACTGAATGCAGTTTTTTTTTTTTTTCAAAAGCATCAGTTTGGTGAACTGAATGCAGTTTTGAAGGAATGACTGTCAATCAAGGTCCCAAGGTCCCTATACTAGGCATGTGACCAGCCATTCAATGACAAAATTAGGCCATTCAGATATTTTCCTCTTGCAAGTGGAGTTTGAGGGGAGTAACTCAAAGACAGAAATGGCTGGAGCTCATTCATCCATTTGGATGTCTGTTCATCTATTTGATCCTCTTCCTTTGATCCTCACAGCTCCTGTTCTTTCTGAAGACTGCCTCTTTAGCTTTCCTTTAGATTCTTTGACTACCACCCATAAGTCTTCCAATGCATTCCTCTTTTGCTTGTTAGATATAAAAAGTCAAACTAAAACAGATTTATGTAAAGCAGCAACATTATTGATAGTGAGCCATGTACCATTTGGTAGAAGTGGAGGGGCATATGCTATGGTCTGAATGTTTGTGTCGCCTAAAATGCATATGTTGAAACCTAATCCCCAATCTGATGGTATTAAGAGGCAGGGATTTTAGAAGGTAATTAGGTCATCAGAGCAGAGCCCTCAGAAATGGCATTACTGCCCTTCTAAAAGAGGCCCAAGGGAGCTTGTTGGCCCCTTCCACCAATTGAGGTTGCAGCAAGAAGGCACCATCTCTGAACCAGAGAGTGAGCTTTCACTAAACACCAAATCTGCAGGTGCCTTGACCCTGTACTTCCTAGCCTCCAGAACTGTAAGCAATACATGTTTGTTCTTTACATGCTACCTAGTCTAAGGTATTTTGTTACAGAAGCCCAAACAAACAAAAAAGCACTTTCTCAAAGAAGAACTTAGCTTCTTTTCTAGTCTTTAAAGGAAACCATTCTCTTCCTTCTAGACCTTGGAAGTTTGATAGCCTTACTGGGATGAAACCTTTTACACATGATATTTTCTGCCATTCTCACTCTTGACCTTCTTGCCAAAGTGGTGAATATCATCTCAGTAAATTTCAAACAAAAAGTAGCCTCATTTTAGGAGGAAATGGGAAAAGAAATAGACATAGGTTTATTTTAAATTTAGGGTTTTTATCATTTGCCACCTTAGGATAGGCAGAGATTTCTTAGAACACAAGATACACTGACCATAAAAGAAAAAAAAATTGAAAACCAGACTTTGTTAAAATTTAAAATTTCTGCTCTTCAAAAGACACCATTAGGAAAATGAAAATGCAGGCTAAAGATTTGGATAAAATATTTGTAGTACATGATAAATACAAATAACTTATTAGAGAATATATAAGGAATTCCTACAAATCAATAATAAAAAGAAAATCCCTAAAAATGTCAAAAGACTTAAAAAGATATCTCAAAAAGATACATGAATGACCAATAAGAATATGGAGCATCATTAGTAATTAGGGAAATATGTAATAAAAACTAAAGTGAGATGCCACTTTAAGCCTATTATAATTACTAAAATTAAAATGACTGACAATACCAAATATTAAGTGGGTATAAGCAACTAGTATTCTCATTGCTGGTGGGAATATGAAATTTTATAACCTTTTTGGGAAACTATCTGTCAGTTAAAGTTAAACATACACACTCCTGTGGCCCAGCAATTCCACTCGGAGAGAAATGAAAGAATATACTCACAAAAGACTTACGTAAGAATGCTCATAATAGCTTTGTTCATAGTAGCCAAAACCTGTAAACAACCTAAATGTTCATAAAAAAGAAAATGGATAAGCAAATAATGATATGTGTATATAATGGAATAATACTTAGCAATTAAAAACACCAAACTATTGGTATACAAAACAACACAGATGAATCTCAAAAATATGATGTGGGGTAAATACAATGTGAATCCCTACACAAAAGAGTACATACTGTATGATTCCATTTATGGGAAGTTGTAGATCAGGCAAAAGTAATAAATGGCTATAGAAATGACCCACAATTGCCTGGGAGAGAACAGGCTGGGGAGTAACTAGAAAGGTGTATGGTGGGATCTTTCTGGGGTGATGTAAGTGCTTTGTATTTTAATTAGGGTAGTTATTTACACAGGTTTTATGTAGTTATAAAACTCATCGAGGCCGGGCACGGTGGCTCAAGCCCATAATCCCAGCACTCTGGGAGGCCGAGGCTGGCTGATTGCTCAAAGTCGAGAGTCGGAAACAAGTTTGAGCCCAAAAGTGAGACCCTATCTCTACTAAAAATAGAAAGAAATTAATTGGCCAACTAAAAACATATAGAAAAAATTAGCTGGGCATGGTGGCACGTGCCTGTATTCCCAGGTACTCGGAAGGCTGAGGCAGGAGGATCGCTTGAGCCCAGGAGTTTGAGGTTGCTGTGAGCTAGGCTGATGCCACAGCACTCTAACTGGGGCAGCAGAGTGAGATTCTGTCTCAAAACAAACAAACAAACAACAAAAAAAAAACTCATTGAACTCTATCCCTAACATGTATGCATTTTATTGTACATAAATTATACCTCAACAGAAAATATTGAAAAAGAGTATTGGAGGACATTATACCATATAGGTCCACTAGGAAATTGAGCATAATTTGGTTTCATTTTATTCCCATTGTTATTGGTTCTATGCAGAACATTTCCCCTTCTCCTTCCTTAAAACTCTACTCTTGGCACTTCTGTATAATCCATAATGCATCCCAACTCTCCTTCTCTGAGCCTCTTAAAAGAAAACATTCCTCTTTTATTCTTTTCCCTCATTGCTGGTGTTGAGTCCTCAGCCCCTTGCTCTTCTTCCCTAAATTACATTGTGTTTTTCAGGATCTATGCATTCTCGCAGCTTCCACCATGTCTTCTACTCTGAGGAACTAGCATGCAGGGTCTATCCTTGTGCATGGCCAAGCTGCAGACTTTGATGGCCTTGACTGACGTTCTTGCATAGGCTCAGAGAATTCTTCCAGGGTCTCCTTTCCAACACCCTCTTCAAACCTTCATCTCTTCCTCAGCCCTGTTTTCCATTCAGTCAGCACCCACCCAGATTCCATATCTCTGTCTTGATGCTTCGCACTGGCAGCATCTCTGATCATCTACCTGGTTTACTGGATGCCAAATTCACATTTTCCTTCCGTCTCACGTTTCCCCTGTGCTCCTCCCAGTGCATGTTGAGGGCTGCCCCTGCCACCTCAGCCAACCCAGACTCCAAGACTCGGCTGCCACAGCAGGTCTCTTGAAGGATGAGACACTCCATAGACTTCAGAGCTTTCACATCAGCCTCATTTCTACATCTCCAAGTGCCACTCTTAATTATTTCCACTAGGAGAGCCTGGCCTCCTTTAGAAGTCAGTTTTTAAAATATAAACTCATCTTCCTCCTTATTCAAATCCACCTTCTAACTTTCTCCCTCTAACATTAGCAATTCTATGATCCAATTGTCTGGCTTAAAACCATAGAGTCATCTTTGATTCGATCCAAATAAATGAAATGTCCAAGAAGTGACCTAATCACTTCATTTTCTTTCTTTAAAATGTCTCCTGTAATTCAATTCATCCAGCTTTACTGGGCCTCTTCGTTTCCAGAATCTCCCAGACCATCATGCCCTTTTCTAAGCTGTGTGGACCTCACAGCAAAGGGCAGGGTCATCAGTTGTTCACCACCTCAATGCAGGTAAAAGCAGCTGAAAGGCCAAAGTGTCCCAGATACCAGCAGGTCAGGGACCTGAGTCTTCTTTCTTATAGTCATGCA